TCTGTTGAAATCCCCATTTCTTAGCATTTGCGCCCCGGTAGGTATGCCGATTTGTGATGACAGACAGCAAGAAAGCCTCTCCTCCCTTGCTATTTCAGTAGTCTTTCAATGCCATCGAGCCATGGATGTGTTCTTCTTTTTTGTTCCAGGCGTGACTGGCTTTTCAGGTGCTTCAGGAAAACTCCCTATAATATATTTTCTTCCAAAACTGGACTTAGCTGCCTTGACATGGGGGAGAAAAAAAAGGAATTGCAGCTGATGGATGCGTTTTCATCTTTGATCCTGATTAAAAGCAAACAAACAAATCTATTGCAAAGGGAAACAGCCCTTGTGTGAAAGGGAGTGGATGATCTGTGTGCATGTGCCTTTTTCTTTCTTTGCTTCCTTCCTTCCTTCCTTCTTTCTTTTCTCTTCCTTCTCCCCCCCCCCTTTTCCAAGGGCATGCTTGTGTACCTAAAGCAATCTAGGAAATCTTTTCAGGAGCAGTTCTCGCTTTGTAGGGTCAGCCTGGGCTTTTGGGGGGCTTGGATTGGGGTGTGTTTTGGGAGAAGGAAGAAGAAGAAGGAGAAGGAGAAGAAGGGAGGGGGAGCCTTGTATAAAATGGCACACTGCATTTCTGCATTTTTTTTCCCCAGGCTGCAGAAGGAAAAGAAAAAGGGGGGGAGGGAGGGAGGGCTAGTGCAGCCTGTGTAGGGACACTGCCCTCCTAACCAATCAGAACACGCCTCTTTGCCATTACAAAGTTGTTAACCCCAGAGTCTTCTGGCTCCTGCTCTTGCTCTTGCTGCTGCTGCTGCTGCTGCTGGCTTTGGCTTTTTAATCCCCTTTGCCTATTTCTCCGCTTTACCCAAACGCCCCCAGAAGACAGAAACCTTCGGAAAAGCCAACCCCCGATCAGGGGGAAACATTGTCTCCGGTTTTTCCCATTTCTTTTATTGCTATTATTTTTATTTTTCCCTTGCCACTAACAAAAAGGAAAAAAAGATATTTGGGGATCCTTTTGCTGCGTGGAGGTGGCTCTTTGCAAGCGAAGAACTATGTCCAGCCCATTTGGTTCCCGTCGGGGCGAAGGGGCAGCTGTCTGCTGCTTGGCCAGGTAAGTTTTCTCATCTTTAAGATATTTTAAAAATAGACCTCTCTTTCTTTTTTGTGGCGTCAAAAGGTCTCCCTCGCGTTGGTGAATCAAAGGTAGGCTGGTCTCTCCCCCCCCCCCCCCCCCAGGTTGGATCTTACCTATTTTAACTAATCACCCCTATTTTAACTAATCGCAACATAAGGGTCGCCTTCTTGTGTTTGACCATGAGAAAGAAATAAGCCCAATTTGGCTTCGGAAGGGTGGATGTGCTGGAAGCAGACCTTGTACTTGGATCTTTTCTGGAGCTACCAGGAACTCAAGGTACCGACAAGGTGGAGCTGGAGTTTCCGATATTGAGAATAAATGTGTGCAGGACAAAATACATACATATATATTGTATATTTTTTTAAAAAAAAGGGACCACGATCTCTTGTTTGTTGGGAGAAAGGCGGCTTCTTAAGCTATGGATGTGTTTTACAAAATAATAATTGGGCTGTGGGGGGTGTGAATGGGTGGACTGGCTTTGAAGGAAGCCAGCAGAGAAGCTGCCCCTGGTGTAATGGAGGAGGAGGCTGACATAACAGGGTTGATATTAAGTTTATGTCTGTTACTAAACATTGGCCTTTTTAATTCTCCAATCAGCTCCTCCTTTTTTTTTTTTTTTTTGGTCAGTCTTCTTTTAAAGCCTTCTTTGTATGTAAAGGATCTGAAAGGAGCATACCTCATCTAGGTGTCGTGTTCTTTGGAGAAGGTGCTTTTGGGGAGACATTTTGTAATTTGGGGCATTTTTATAGGGTTTTGGGGTTGGTTTTTTTTTTTTTTTTTTGCACACGGTGGGAAATCTTTTTTTGTTTTGTTTTGTATTGATCTGTGTTGGTGGCGCTGTGGTGCTCCTAAACAATTTTATGTTCGTTTCACCAAGAAAAGAGGGAGGGGGGCAAAGAAAGGTGGGGCAAGATTTGAGATCATCTCCTCCTCCCCCCCCCATCGAAATATAACATATAATCTCATCACACATCTTATATTGTGTGTGTGTGTGTATATAGATCTATTGTGTACTTCCATCTATGTACCTCAAGTACACTGTACAGTGTACACCATAACAGACGTGTCGTCACAGTCCTTTGTTGTTCTCTGAGGCTAAAGGTAGGGTTCAGATTTTTCCCTCTTCCTTTGAAAGAAAAATCTCTTAAGGTATGTGAAGAACTATGCTAGTCTTTAGTAATATCTTCACCCCTACTCTAAAAAGGATTTTTAAAATAATCCAATTACATATTTTCTGTGAACTGTTTCTCTCTCTCTCTCTGTGTATACATATGTACGCACATACATACATAGTTTTAGTGTAGTATATAGATTTTTTAAAATTGATAGCTGAGTGAAAAAGCTTTTTTCCCCTTGCTTACGAGTTCTTTTTAAAAAGGGTTGGTAGATGAACCAAAATGTGTGGGTTGGGCCCTTTTTTTAAAATCTTGTGTATTTAGGGGTATTTTGTAGATGGTCATGCTTTAATTGAGATTTATTGGTATGCATGTAAAAATGAAACTTTGCAAGTATTACACAAGCATTCATGCAAATTGCCAAGAAGGCTTCCATGTTTGGGGTGTGTGTGTGTGTGTGTGTGTGTGTGTGTATAACCACAAACACACTTACTAAATGCACAGATGTATAGTTTTCCCTACAAATAATCTGTATTCATATATAAATAAAAAAAATTAATTGATGTGATGCAAAAATGGCTAGGAAGATGTAGCTGCACATGCTAAAATTATTAAATAAAACGACTTCCCTTATAAACGCATAGTTTTGAAATTACCAAAAATGTCCTAGAAAATGCAACAGGTTAAGGAATCTATTAAAGTATTGTGAAGGAATGTTTATTTTTTCTGCTTTTAGGAATTCCTCAGACTAGTACTATGAAGCCTTTTGTATGAGTAATTTATTTATATAATTCTATGGCACATGCATGTGAACACAAGGATTGTAGAGGACGTTGTTGCTTTGTGTATTGTACCAGAAATATTTCTAGCCTGTACTCTGAGATAATTCTTTCGTGTACTTGAAACAAAATGTCTTTACAAGAAGTTGGATGCTGCAGCATCTATTTAAAGGGTTCAAAGTAAAATTGTTCAGTAAAGGTCATCTCTTTGTAGATGTAGAAATGGCTTACTAAACATTTTCACATTTGGATCCAAGTAAAATAATAATTTAGCTAGGGGCATATGAGCAGCTTAAAATGCTTTCACTGGTTATGGGCCCCACTGTGTATTAACAATGGTTGTTTGAAAAGGCCAGACATGGATGTTCTCTTGCAGATCTAAGAATGCAACTCATGCAGCCTCCATCTCAGTAATGTGGCAGTGCAGCACATGATTGCGCCATACAGTGTTGCAGGCACCTTGATACATGGGTGCAGTTCTTAGCGCCTTGTACATGCATCTATAAAAGAGGCGTATGAATGCATCATGACTGGCCCTAGTGGATCAGCTGTTGTTCATGTTTAAGTAGAGATTGTTCTCTCCACCCCCTCCATCCTGCTAGGAAAGTCTCCATATACAATTAGTCACAATGAAGTGTGCAGTAAGGTACATTTTTGCAATTTGTTACACCTGTGTTCCCTTTTCCCTTCAAATAGGTCAGAGCAATATACAGGAAATATCATCAATGTAGTAACACAGCATACAGGGTGACCACATGTCCTAACCACAAAGGAGGACAAGGCACCACAAAATGTAAGAATTTGAGAAAAATGTAGGACCTTGCAAAATGAAAGCTAAAAACACAAATCTAAATATAAATTCATGCTTCTTAGTCATGCTCAAAATGGAGGATGGTTTGAAATTCCTCCTGGACAGAAGATTGAAATGGAGGGCATGTCCTGGAAAAGGAGGATGTTTGCTCACCCTGAGAGTATAGTTTCTGCATATGTAAAAATCAGAGGTTCAGTTCCCACCATCTTAGGCTGATCAGACCTGAAACTGATCAGTCTAGCCATGTACTGACCAGTGAAATAAGGCAGCTCAATATAGACCTGAGACTTGTCTAGCCATGTACTGACCAGTGACATAAGGCAGCCCAATGTTTGTAGTTTACAAGCCTGTATAACAAATGGAATTAAATTAGGCATAGCCAGGTTATTATGCAGGATATATCAAAACTTCATGGCTGTACCTCTTTTAATATGAATTAGTATTAAAATACAATAAGTAGGGCCGCTCCTAATCTCAAAATGATGTACAGTGATCCCTCCACATTTGCTGGGGTTAGGGGCTGAAGGACCCCTGTGAATGTGGAAAAACCCCAAATAGAAAACAACTATTTTTACCTGAGAGGAGACCTCTAGGAATCTCCAGGTCCTCCAGTGCAACTCTATGGTCAATATCCATCAGAAATTGATCATGAATCACACCGGAGGACCTACAAATGCCTAAAGAAGTGTTTTCTCTAGTAACCTTAATTCTCCAGCACAGCTTCTGGCAGAATTGCACTGGAGGTCCTAGAGAGAACAAATTAATCAAAACCGCAAATAATCAAATCTGCAAAAGTCAAAGCCACAAATGTGGAGAGCCAACTGTATAGCTAAAGGTTGGGTGCAATAGTTGCCAAAGATCAGGTGGCATAGGCTGTGTTTGCAAAGCTGTACCTAGCTGTCATGGTATCTGAAAAAAAATGTTACTTATGTACATATGGGCCTAAATGCCTTAAAAACACAAGATCTTACCTGATCTTGGAAGTTAAACAGGCTCAGCCCTGGTTAGTAATTGGATGGGAGACCACCAATGAATACCAGGTGCTGTAGGTTGTATTTCAGAGGAAGGAACTGGCAAAACCACCTCTGAGTATTCCTTGCATAAGAAAACTATGAAATTCATCCATAAGTCAACAGGCAACTTGAAGGTGTGTGCATACACACTCACACAGAAGAGCAAGTGTGGTATAGTGGTTTGAGCTCTGGGCTACATCCCTGGAGACCAGGGTTCAACTCCCTGTTCAGCCATATAAGCTGACAGGTGGCTTAAAGGTGTGTGCACATATACACACATGGGAAAGCAAGTGTGGTGTAGTGGTTTGAGCATTGGACTACAACCCTGGAGGATTTGAGTCCTTGTTAAGCCATGGAAACCCACTAGGTGACCTTGGGCAAGTCATACTCTTTCAGACTTATAGGAAGACAAAGGCGAACTCCTCTCTGAACAAGTCTTGCCAAGAAACCCCCATGATGGTGTTGTCTTAAGGTCTCTGTCAGAAATAACTTGAAGGCACACAACAAGATGTACATGCACCCAATTTAATAATATACATTATTAGGTACCTAAGACATATTTTGAAAGTAAGTCCCCAAAAGCTACTCTCCACCCTTTTGTTTTATTTACACTGTGCTGGGTTGTACTAGCTTCTCTGCAGAATGTAATTTATACAATAGAAAATAATTAAAGGTGAAATTGTCAGACTGAATAAACAATAAAAATAGGTAAGAAAGCTTGTTAGTGCAGTGCATGAGCTGATAAGAAGCTAGGGGTATTCAGAAATGAGTCTGAAAGAAGCTGGATTTTCTTGAATAGTTAGTCACCTAGGAGGGGGGTGCCTCACTAACATGACAAGATATGAGTAAGGCAAAGTGACATAGGACTCCAGAGTGATTGTAGTTATGCAGAATAACACAGTGGGAAAAGCCATGTAAGAAGAAACAGTCAAAAAAAGAGAGGCAGCAAGATATCAGAAGACTTAGCAACTTGACATTCAATAAAGAGCATAATAGTATCAGAAACAGATTCAAAAGATAACTTTAAGTATGTTTTGGAAAACACTAGTTTAACACAGACATTTTTAAATGAGTGTATATGATACAGTATAAAATGAGTGTGTATGTGTAGTCTAAAGTACCTACTGTGTTCCTGTTAATCTAAAATTGTTCAGTTGTTGTTGTTTTAATAAAACTACTGTTTCGTCATATCATCCTGCTGGTGAGGAACTACAATTATGTTTGCTACTGATTTTGAAGAAGGACTGGTTCTGGATAATGGTGAGTGTTTATGGTCCAAACTGATACAAGCCAGAATTCAGAGAATGCTTGAGAAAATAAGGCATTTTGCATCTAGCAAGATCCATGCAATATACAGTGACAATAAACTTAGTTGTCCTGTGTTTTAAATGTCTAATCACAGATAATTTAGAGTAGAGGTGGCCAAAGTGTGGTCCTTCAGTTGTTGTTGGACTGCAGAAGGTCTTGTCAAAACTAGGCAAAATAGGCATTATTGAGAAATACTGGGAATGCAGTCTAACAGCATATGGGAGGTCAATACTTTACCCATCCCTGTTGTTAAGTAAATGTAAAAGGCAAATTATAGATGCATATTCCTCAGCATTTACTAGCCAGAGGATTAAGTGGCACCTGTGGCATTGGTTTGTGTTCTGTGGTCTTTTGGTTGATGATACTGAAATATAAGTGAGGTACACTTAAATTATGAGAAAATAAATTGCAGTTCTGTTCACTTTGATCCTATTAATATGTTTCCATTATAACTCTTTTCACTATTTGAAGAGCCTTACAGTGCAGGCCTATAAATGTCTACTCAGAAGTAAGCCACACTGCATTCGGTAGTTCTTGCCAGGTAAGTGTATGCAGAATTGCAGTATTAGACTTTCCATTCATTGAAGCTATTGGATCCCTGTGGCCGGCATGTGTACACCACCTACTCCATAGGCTGCTCTAGTGCGTGTCTCCATATACAGACTACAAACATACAAAGATGGATGGAGGGGATGCATAGGATCTTGAGTCCTGTGTGGTTCTTCCATATGAGGAAGGACCATTTGAATTTTGTACTATATAGACTTAGACTATCGTACTTTGGACACAATCACGAGAAGGCATGAATTGTTGGAAAAGACAATGTTAGGAAAGGTGGAGGGAAGTAGAAAGAGAGGAAGGCCACATGCTAGATGGATGGACTTTATTAAAGAGACCACCAATAAGAGTTTGCAGGAGCTGGGCAGAACAGTAGAGGACAGGGGCGCCTGAAGATGTCTCATCCATAGGGTTGCCATGGGTCGAGACCTATGTGAAGTTAGCCAACGCGAAGGCAGTTAACAACAAAAATAGTAAGGATACATTTTCTTAGTCAATTTTACTTATCAAAACTGGATGGTGTTTTGATATTTCATTTCTTAACCATTTGGTTATATGATATAACTCGTAAGAGTCTTTATAGCCAGCTTCTGCCTAACTACTGTGAATAATTTTGTATTGGTTTCAAGATGGTTGAAAATGTAGAAATAGTGTAACCCATCTGTTCATAGTAAGATCCTCCAGTGGTTTTTCTTAAGGAAATAAGTTAAAATAAGAGTGAGATGTTCAAGTATTTTAATTTCAAGTAAACATTCTATATAAGGCACTACATTATATTTCCCCCCATGCATCCATAAGCATAGATTTTTGTGCAGCAGTGGGGATCTTTAGCGTATGCCTTCTTCAGGATCTCAATTTTAAAAAGAGAGAGAATCCAACTATGAAGAAATATTAGGAAATGAATGGTGTTTGCAGAAAGCCTTCATTGTTCAGGGCACGTAATATTTTCATGTTGCAGTGCCACTGGTGTGCATCAGTTTTGACTTACTGTTTGGTTCCCTATGCACTTATTAGCCTTATTTCTACCATTCTAATTAGTCACCACCTTATTCTTTGCCATTAAAAATCCAAATTCCAGAATCCTGGTTATATAAGTAAGTGAGGTGGAATGTTGAAGAATGTTGAACAACCCTTTAGATTTCTGCCTAGACAGACAACTCTAGCCATTTTTAAAAAATTATCAGGAGGCTGTAAGTGCAGAGACAAAAGTAATTTCTCAAACTTCTATCATCCTGGCAGAAACTGGGGGTTGGGAGCATGTGGCTTTCCATATGGTGTTGGCCTCCAGTTTCATATAAGCCCTTGCCAGCCTGTCTAGTTGTGGAGAGAAGGGATTCCCAGTTGAAATGTTCAGAGTTGCTGAACACCATAAAAGTGAATTATTCTGAGAATAGGCCCACCTAACTGAGAAGTAAATGAGAAAAAGCTAAAGGAAATATTACATGTTTAGAAAATCTCTGAATAAATCTGTCAGCTAGGTTAGAAACAACAAAATATTTTCCCTAAGCACTTAAAATTTATCTGTAACAGTATTTTTAGATGACAGGAAGGCTCTAACAACTGAATATTCTCTCATTATATCAGGTAACATTAAGAATGTGTAAGGAACAAAATGAGAGAAACTGCTGTCTCTTTCACATCAGTCTATACAGATCATGACACTGCTATCTTCATGCAATCAGAACTGAGCCATTTAAAAGATAATAATTCAGAATATCTATAGAGGGTAGAAACCCCTTTTGTAGCTCAAGGTAAAACATCAGCAAATATTTTCCTCCCCCCTTTTTTTTTTTTTTTTTTTACTCTTCCCTTGTTACTCCAATAGTAAACACAGCTGATGAAATAAAGTACCTGAGAAACAAAGAAAAAAGGGGTCTTTTATAAATAAAAGTTGGCATTGACATGTGCTGATTCCCAAAGTTTTGGAGAAGGAAACCCAAGAAGAGACCAAAAACAGCAAAACAGGTGATCGCTTAGTAACCACAAACTTGCGTGTCAGTTGGGGAAAATATTAATATCTGGAAGGGAGATAAGGTTCAGAATTAAGAGTCCTCAAAGTGGACATGGCAGGCAGATACCCTACACAGGAGAGCTGTTAGATGTGAGGATCCCCTTTTTGTTTATCTTGCAAACTCAGCAGGAGGCTAATCCTTACTCAAGTCTCTCTTATAGTTGCTATATTACAACCATAATGTAATACTTTCTTGCATAAAAATATCCCATTAGAGTAGACTATGAATCAATCTAATACACAGTTGATCAACAGTAGAGTTAACAAGTATTTTCAGCAGCTTGTATTCAGAAACACTGGATGTAGAGCCAGCATGGTGTAGTGTTTTGAGTATTGGACTATGACTCTGGAGACTAGGGTTTCAATCCCCATTTAGCCATAAAAATCTACTGGGTGGCCCTAGACAAGTTACACTCTCTCAGCTTCATAGGAAAGCAAGGGCAAAGCCCTTCTGAAGAAACCTTGTCAAGAAAACCCTGTGATAGATTTGTTTTTGTGTCACCGTAAGTCAGAAATGACTGGAAGGCACACAACAACAAATCACACATAAGAAGCCAAAATTTTGGTTTGCTGTTGACAAGCTGTGTGCTTCTGCATGCTACCTGACTGTTCTTGCTTATCTTTTGCATCCAGCAAATACAGCTAAAAAACTCCCAGAAACTCACTGGGAACCAACAGTTTAACATTATGTCCAAACTAGACTCCCAAGCTGTTCAGGAACTTGAATGGGACTTCCAAATATTCTAGGAACTGGAAACTAGCTATACCTTTTGGCTTTATACTTTTTATGCCTGAGCAAATAATAAATCAAGAGCCTTAGTTCAGATATAATATGAACATATAACTGCTTCCTAGTTGGATTTTGCCTGCTGCACACAGTAGTAAGAGAATATGCACTGATGATATGGACTTGGAATCCTGTGGGAAGGCGAGATTCTTACAAAGGAACATGTTCAGTGCCTTTGAATACTTCTGTGCCTAATATACAATGATTTGTATTCTCTTAAGCTTTTCCAAAAATAATTATAAGGTAGCAGCCACAACCAAAATTCCGTAATGTGAATCTGATTGACTTCTTTTAAAAATTACAAACCTGCATACCAGATAAAATATCATGAGATGCCTAATGCTTGTTACTTTTTCTTCTGAATCCAATACTGTTCCAGCAATCAGAGAATTTACATTGAGGATTCTAAGAAATTTTGTAGGTGTCTAGAAACTACACTTCCAATTCATACTTGACCATATATTTTTATGTATAAAAATGTTAGAGTCAGAGTCCCATTTATTTCAATGTTTTTTCTTTCTAATATAATTTCCCCTCTTTCCTTGATGTTAATTCCTCCCAAGCACAAAT